CTTATTGTTACTGGGTTTCTTCATCATGGGGAAACGTAGAAAAAAAAGTTGCCGGGAGAAGAAGAAGTATTTGAAGAAACGACTGAGGAGGAAGAAATTGATACCAGTACTGAGGAAGATCCTGATAAAGAGCAGCGCAAGTATAAGCCGTACTTTGTATCTGACTACAACAGGAGGTACCCTGAGGACTCTGTCCTTGTTGATTTTGTTGTCTTTATCGAATCAAACGATGAAAGAAGGCCAATCGGCACGCGGGACATGATGTCTCTGTCCACACATATGAAGAGGTTCAATAAAGGCATTAAATATTTGCAATCTATGCATAAATACAAAATAGGCGCTCATTTTGAAAAGCCCTCTCTAGCGAATGCATTTTTAAATAATATTACATTTCTTAATGAATACAAAATGAAGGCATCTATCCCAGCTGTAGGGACAAAAATAACAGGAGTCATAACCAATGTTCCCAGTAATCTTTCTAATTCAAGAATTTTTGGTATGTTAACGACTTACAGGAAGATAATATGTGTTAAAAGGATAATGAGGAAACATAAGAATGATGCAGGACGCAGTTTGCTGCAGCCGACGGGCACCGTGGCCATCACATTCGCTTCTAATGTTTTGCCGGACCACGTCGATCTTCATGGTTGGCGGTTCGTGGTAAATCAGTATATTCCACCAGTGAAGCAGTGCTACAATTGTCTGAGGTATGGTCACTTAGCAAAGTATTGTAAAAATTCTGTGAAATGCTCAATTTGTACTGAAAATCACAGCTACAAAGATTGCCAAGTCTCTTCAGATAAAGCGATATGCATACATTGCAAAGGAAACCATCTAAGCATTTCTGGACAGTGTCCTGTTAAGAAACAAAAGATAAAAGAAAATCAGGCTAAATTACACAAAACCCCGTTTGTAGACTCTTTTTAATAAAAACGAATTAAACAAAAAAAAATCCTAAAGATGCTCTTATGTCACTGCTAAAGAATGATGGCATTATTAATATAATTTTAAATACAGTCATTAAAGTATTAACTCTTAATAAATCAAATGAACAAACCACCATATCTTCTCAGCTTATTAAAGATGTTCTCATAGATACAATGAAACCAAAATAGATATTTCATTATTTAACATTTAATATTTTATGGATCAGTTTAACATTTTACAATGGAATGAACAGAGTTTAATTAAAAATCGCTTTCAATTTACACAATTTTTATATGATGTTGCTCTCATATGTGAAACTTGGCTTAAACCTAGGCACAATTTTAGAGTAAAAGGTTGTAATATTATACGATTAGATTCAGGTAATGATCATAATGGAGTAGCAATACTGCTACATAACAAACTTGGATTTCGTGTTATCAATACATTCTCTGATGACTCATTACAAAATATAGCTGTACAAATACAATACAATGATAAATTATTAACTTTAGTTAGTGTTTACTTTCCCCCTAATTCATCAATTAATTATAATAAATCCAAATTAGATAATTTAATTCCAAAGTTTGCCACAGCCAGTATTTATAGCTGGTGATTTCAACGCCCATCACACGTTATGGGGATGTACTAGAATTAGATTCACGAGGTAGTGACGTTCTTGCAAGTATAGATGACAACAATCTTGTAATCTTGAATGATGGTCAGATGACTACAGTAGGATCTCATAGATGGAGGCAGAATGCATTAGACTTGACACTTGTTTCATCTTCACTGGCTCTGTCTTGTGAGTGGCAAGTATGTGATGATGATTCTCTAGGCAGCTATCATTTTCCTGTAAAGACAAAAATTACGGTCAATAATCAAAATTTTCAAGAAACAGCTGTATCAAATAACATAAACTTAAAATTGGTAGATTGGTCAAAATATCCAAATTTAATAGATAATTTAATTAACCGTAGTAGCCCAATCATATTTAACTAGCTATAAATCCCAATCATACGTAAAAATGACGTGTAAAAATAAAACTTCAGAGTTTTCCTATTTTTTTCTGTTAATGAACTATATTTTTGCATGAGTCATCATAATTGAAATTTTAATTAATAGATAAAGTACATTTTAAGTTAAAAATACTTTTTATTAATACAATTATGGCACTTTAATCAAATCTTAGAAAAAAATCATCAAAAAATCAAGCCTCTAACACTTTTTCTAAAAATAATGTAATTATAAAAAAAATCAACTAGTTTTAAATGTTTTCATAAAATTAAATCAACTTGTAATAATAATTTATAAGTCTCTTAGAAAAAAAACAGTCTTTATATACAGTCTTGACAAACATCAATATTGTGCTCTCCACATATAGCCTTTTTGCATTTGCAACACTGCGCTTTGGTCATCCGCCTTTTTTTATATGAACAAAATCCACATTAGCGTCGTTTCTTTGGTTCTGGCTCATCAATAATATTTTCCGGAGATGGTGGTACCACATTTCTTAAAACATTTGTTATATTGTCGCGTAGAGTCCTCTTCAAAGTAGGTGCTTGTAGTCGTTCTTGCATCCAAGGTGTCGTCAGATCTGTACTTAATTTTTTCATAAATTCTTTGCGGCTCATTGGTTTTTCTTGTTTATTTATCTTATTGTGACAGTATATTATATAAGAGTTTACAAACGCCATATTCAACATCCCGTAAAAGACCGCCATCGGCCACCTATTAGTCTTCCTGTTAGCAGACATACTTACACATCTGATCAAAGGAATCAACGCCGCCTTTTGTTTGATTGTAAAACAATATCATGTCCGGTTTTCCGTTACTTTCATTGATAACGGCATTTTCATCACAAGAGACAATAAAAATACAATTTTCGACGGCTTTGGTTTATAGGAAACCACGGTCAAAGGGTCATCAAAGCAAAACATTGAGGATCCTACCGGCCGTGAGCGAGAATTCTTGATCTCTTCAGGTATTTCTCTTTTGTTAGACCTGATGGTTCCTACTCGTGTTAGGTTGTATGGAGCCTGGAGCATGTTCTTGGCGAACTTGGTGAACCAGTTGTAGCAGGTAACATTTCTATTTGTGCCGTGTACTGTTTTAGTCAGCTCTTTTACATAAAACTCGCCCAGTGGTAAACCATTTGTTTTCGTACTTTTACCAAGGTAAGGTATGGCATCTATCATGTACTTTGTGGCAGCGTCACACATCATGGGGAATTTTATGCCATATTTATCAGTTTTATTAGGAATATACATCCGGAATGGACAACGGCCGCGAAAACCCAACAATTGCTCATCTACAGTCAAGTTACTGCCAGGAACGTAGTTTTGTCTGCATTGATTGATAAAAATCTCCCATATTTTTCTCACCGGTAAATCGGCATCATCGCTACGAAGAGTTGGTCGCAGTGTTTTATCGTCTATTCTCAAACATCTTATTAGGAATTGAAATCTCTCTCGGCTCATTACTGATACATACCTGGTGCCAGAGAATGTAGCGTCAAACAACTCATTGAGAGGTGGTTATCTTTCATAACAGCCGTCAGAGTGAGAATTTCGACTAACGCCCAGATCTCCATTGTATTTGTATCCCTGTAGCTTGCTGAAATGTTTTTAAAATTTTGTCGTTTTACTATTATCTCGACGTTTATCCACTTGACTATTTCATGAATTATCTCGTCTGTTATAAAAAGTTGAAAACAGAGCAATGGGTCAACAATATTGCGACACATTCGCGTTGGTCCCCTATTTGGGCGTATAATATTGATAGCAGAAGTCCTTCCCGTCATACGTCCCTTTGTAGTTGACCATACATGGTTGTTTTTTCCACGTATTGACCGCTGAGGCAAACTAATTATTCTGTGTGAAGTCAATGAAGTTACCTCAAGATTAGGCGATTCCCGAGAAAAATATTGTTATCGGGGTCGTCTTGCCTGCTTGTATCTTCAACGAAGTCGACCATCGCGTCCTCGTTATCACCCAACTACACGATCTTCTTCCTTGGAGTCCGAATGCAGCGGAGAATAATCGTCATCATTTTCTAAAATTGTAGCTATTTCGTCCTGGTTTAGCCATTGACGGGACTCCATTTTGTATTCAACCTGAAAATATTAATATTATATGAAAACTGTAACGAAACAATACGATTAACTGAAATAAATCACAAAAATAAAAAAATTAGAAACAATTTCAAAAGTTACACAAAGCACAATTATACGTCAAAATGATGTGCAACCTCTCTATTACAACAAAATGGCGGCACTTACCGAGTTGACACAACTGTGTCCTGCGAGGTCTCAATGGCTACTGAGTTATTTCAGAAGTTAGCGGCGATTTGGCGGCGATCCGACGGTAAACGTGAAAGCGATAGAGATATTTCGCCGCGGTATACGTCAAATTTACGTAGATTGGGCTTTTAGGGTTAAAAATTATAGTTTTGATTATAGTAGTCCTTTACAATGTTATACAGACTTAATAGAACTAATTAAACAAGCCATGCATGAATCCATACCATCCAATGCAATCTTTTAAAAGAATAAAAAAAAAATTAAAAGAGGCAGTATTAAAGTGTAAAAATGCATATTTAGTATTTAAGAATGATCCCACAGAACGAAATTATATTAATTTCAAAAGACTACAAGCTGTTAAAAAAATTACTTTGAAGACTGAAAGACAGCTTAGCTGGAAAAAAACTATGTGAAACTTTTAATAGATCTACTCCATTGACTAGAGTATGGCATGACATTAAAAAGTTTAACAAAACTTTTATTCATAATAACACATCTGTCATAGATTCTAATTGGGCTAATGAATTTTTGAAAAAAATATACTCCAGAAACAGATGAAACACCTCTAACCCCTCACTCCTCAAATGATAATCATTGTGATTATCTTACCAAACCTTTTACCTTGACCGAATTCAATTCAGCTGTTAACTCTGGAAAAGACACTACTTGTGGTTTAGATTCTATTCCATATAATAAGCTTTAAAAAATATGAATACTGTGTGTAGAGAACTAGTTTTAAAAATATATAATATGTTATGGTTTCATTCACTTATTCCTAACGATTGGAAAGAAGATTGTTTGATACCCATTTTAAAGCCTGGAAAAAAACCTCACATTGCAGAATCTTACAGACCTATAGCACTTACATCTTGTATGGGTAAAATATTTGAGCAACTTATAAAATATAGATTAGAATTTTATCTAGAAAAAAATTGTCTTTTACCATCAAATCAGTTTGGATTCAGACGCCGTAAGTCATCTAGAGAAAGTATTGCATTTCTACATTTAGACATCTTTAAAGCTATGGAAAATAATGAAGTATTAATTAGTATAATTCTAAGGCCTTTAATGTATTAAAAGCTTTGGCTAGTACTAACTGGGGAGCTAATCCAGAAATATTATTAATGTTATATAAGTCTTTGGTGAGGAGCCATTTTGAGTACGGCTTTCTTTGTTTTGCATCAAATAAAAAACTAGTAAACAAATTAGAAAATATACAAAATAAGAATTAAAGACTTATTACCGGCTTTATGAGAACAACTCCTATTGTTTCTTTACAGGCTGAATGTCTTACTCCTCCTATCATACTTAGGTTTAAATATCTGAAATTTAGGTTTTTATTAAATATTAATTCTTTGTCTCATCATCCTCTTTTTTAAAAAGTATTATTTTACTATAATAGTATGTCTCCTATATCTAACTCACCCCCATATACACTCCATGACTACGATATGATGAACAATATAATATTCACAAAAGCACACATACTTGGCCTTGTTATGAGGGGAATTATGAAAGTAAATTTAGTGATATACACATAAATTTAGATGAAAAATTGAAAAGAAAAGAAGAAGTTTATGAACTTATATCTACATATGATGAATATCGACAAATTTACACAGATGGTTCAAAGGTTGAAAATAAAGTAGCCTGTGCATTTTATATACCTCATCTGAAAACTGGACGTGGCCTTTCGATCCCTGCATTAGCAAGCATATATACTGCAGAATGTTATGCTGTCTTAATCGCTCTTAAATATATAGAAGAACACCCGCATGTATCTAATAAATGGTTACTGATCTCTGATAGCATGAGTGTCTTGAAGGCACTGAAGGCAAGAGCTTTATATGCTAAAACGTCTTTCATCATATATGAAATCAAAAGTTTGTAGTGGAAATTGAAAGAAAATAATTTGGAAGTAAAATTTATATGGACTCCGTCACATATTGGGGTTCAAGGAAATGAAAGAGCAGACCATTTAGCTAAAAGAATAGTTACAGCTGATATTGACAGGATAACCGATGTTGCAATACCACATACAGATTGTTACGGCCCGCAGCTGCCCCTGCAAAAGTTCAATATTCTGCGGCCCATGAGCGGAAGATTCAACGGGCAGCCGCGGGTTTGAGCCCGAATGGCCATATGGAAGAATGTCCTATTATACTAAACTGAAGGGAGAAGGCTAGAAAGATATAGTACGTACCTGTATCCGAAGCTAAGATTGCCCCAAGGCTCGGTCAGGCCGTAGTTGGGTGTAAGGTGCATGGAAAGTAGTGTTTAGTGATGTGTATGTGTCTGAGACCTGGACCAGCTGAGGTGACCTGCAGCGGCCGATTTCCAGGCTGCCCCACAATGCTGCATCACTCCAGTAGGCTTCCCCGCTGGACCATTTCTTTCTTCCATTCACTAGTTCAGTCTATTAACTTCATTGTACATTTAACTAACTTAAACTCGGCTAATTCCACATTCATCGTAGAATCGTACCCGTGACACTCGACACAGTAACGGACAGTAATTCAAAGTTCAACATTCAATGTCCCGGATTCACTATCACCAAATGACGAATAGTGGACTAACGCGATGTCTTACCCGGTTCAGCGTTACAAACACAACTAAATTCCTTCGTTTGATATCAATACTACGCCGCGATAAGAATTCAAAATACGCCTCGTTGACACGTAAAACTAACTAAACAGTCAACACACAAAAAGGGCACTTAACGCGACGGCACAATTACTTTCAAAGAAGTTACTTTAATCATTTAAACACAATACAAGCCTCTTGTCCAGAACTTAAACAACTTAAAACGAGGCGGTTTTCACGAAACACAATTAGGTAGCGAAGTTACGCGCACAAAAATCTAACAATCTAGACCGCACTCCGGTCACGCGAAACCTCTGCAGCGATAACCGAGATACGCGAGTTATCCGCACCGCCGCCAGCGAGCTACTGCCACCTACTGTCTTCAGCTCCCGTGTTGAGCGACTGCTCGCGGCACGTGGCGTCCTCCCCCAGCCGTCGGCATCACCTTACCTCGACACCATCGGGTGACGCGCCAGCTCGAACGCAATTGGATGGCATTCAAAATGACCAATTTTGGGCATAAACACAGATTTATATTCAATTTTAAAGCAACAGTTAAAAGAAGAATGGAAAATGCAATGGAATGCTATTTTAATGGCAGGAAAAGGTCGTTGGTATGCATCAATTAATTCAGAATTAAGTATTCCTTGGTTTTCTCGCAACGAGAGATATCATAGCAGAAAATTTTATACAATAATGTGCAGACTTAGATTTGGCCACTATCGACTTAACTCTCATCTTTCCAGGATGAGAATAGTAGCATCTGCAACATGCAATTTCTGCGATACAGAAGCAGATCAGACTGCAGAACATATAATATTTAACTGCCCAGTATACGCCATACAAAGATTGCTACTCATTGAAAAACTTATACAAGCTTATGAAGACTCAGAAAGCGTCCCGCGTGCCCAGCAAGATATTCTTAGGAATACTAAGACATATTTAGCACTTTGCAATTTTATTCATAATACTGTAAAAGAAATATGAAATATGGTATCCCTGATTTTGAAAATATTGGAATGACAAATCTACACGGATTGAAACTAGCGGTGGGTCGTTATGTGTTTTCTAAATAACGTAACGTTATCGTTATCGTACAACGGATAACGTTATCATAACTATCTATATTCATAACTGTCTATTTTCCATGTAACGGCAACGTAACAATATACCGTCATAGAACAGTTATCATCAAAATTATTTTCGTTTCGTGATATAAACTGTTAAGATATAAATACTAATTTAGTTTCTGAAATGAACTTTCCTTCGTACTTTTTCCAGGCTTAGGACTGGCTGAGCAAATCAGGCGTACTTAAAAGTTCATTTTATATACATAATTTCTCTTTCCTTAACAGCTAATTATTTACAATATTTTACAATTTTATATTTAGTTTTAAATAAACGAAGTTTACTTAAAACAAAATCTTTCTTGGTTCATATTTACATTTAAAAACATTATCATGCCCACTTTTTTATGATCTAAGCGGGTGCGGCGATCCGAAATGATGAGGCCTGCCTTACTGAACATCCTTTCACAAGGTACTGAAGTGGCTACAATGTTGCCATATTTGAGAAATAATTTAGCCAGGTGTGGGTATTTTTGGTTATTGTTACGCCACCACTCCATCGGACAATTCCACTTCCTCTCCGCATCGTGGATAGGTAACATTTCATCTTCTAGGTAGCGGTCAATTTCTTGAATCGCCTTAGCCAGTGGACTTACACGCCGTATAGGTGTCCCTGTCGTTCCACCTATTAATTCATCTAAGGCGCTCCATGGTGAAAATTTATCGTGCTCAATTATGGTTGTGCCTGCACTTACTCCAGGAACGGGAGCATTGGTTCTGGTCTCATTGTCTATAATTGTAGTGATTGCGTCTTCAACTAGTTTCCTCACAAACCTTTGTTCGGATTCTCCCTCAAATAAAGAAATTTTATATCGAGGGTCTAAGAAAGTACATATACCAAATGTGCGACTTTTTCCCACATTTTCGAACCTTTCCATAAGACCCCGTTTTAATGCAGTTATAACTTCATACGCAGGCCAGCAAAATCCTTCACGTAGAAGCTTGTCACAAGTCCTGATTAGGCACTTGGTGATGACAATTACTGAGCTCGCTGTGATATATTGTTCACCACTCATGGACTCAGTTATCTCATCGAATGGCTTGAGGATTTTCGTTAGTTCACTCAATAGCCTCCACTCTTCATTGCTAACAACAGGTAAATCTTTAGCAATTACTGCTACTGTAGCTCGTATGGCTGCCTCAAGCTCAACAAATCTTCGAATCATGTGGAACATGGAGTTCCAGCGTGTAGGCACTTCTTGTATGAGCTTTTTTGGAATTTCGTTTTCGTTGTCACTTTTTTGGTATTTTATTAATTTTTCTGTGGCTATAGTGCTTTTTTTAAAGTGCCGTACTATAACCTTCACCTTATCTATCGTGGACATGACACCACCCGTAGCATCTTGAACTACTAGGTTCAAGGTATGTCCGTAGCACCCATAGTGCTTAATACCTAGATTTGTGAGGGCATTTTGCACATTCGCAGCGTTATCGCTTATTGCGAAGTTTACTTTTTTCTCAAGTCCCCACTCCTTCAGAGACTCCTTCAAAAAGTTTTGGAGGTTTTCACTGGTATGGCGATCAGAAAAATAGTCACATGATATCAGCACAGTCTTCATACGAAAATCGCAAGTTAAATAATGCCCAGTGATTGCCATATAGCATTCATTGGCGCGTGATGTCCACATGTCTGTGGTTATGCATATTTGTGTCACTTCATCTGCAAGAGAACGACGGACTTCTTCTCTTGTCCGTTCATAAAGAGCAGGTATCAATAATGAAGATATTTTTTTTCGCGATGGTAGCGTGTACCCTGGTATCCATCGGGAGTATTTTATAAAAGATCTTTCTTCTACCAAACTAAATGGCTGAAAGCCGTCTATAAATAAATCTAGAAGATCTGAGTCAATTTTGGACTTTAGATCTTTTGACAATTTTCTAGGAATAAAGGCATCCATTTTTCCTTGTCTGGGTTGAGACTGCGGTACAGCTAATGGCACCATTGAGGATGAATTTGACGTCGAAGGCTGGCTTAAAAAGTTATTATTTAAGTTAGTACTTGACGCAAGGGCTGGGACACCCAAAGTGTTCACAGGTCTCGAAAATCTGGCAATCGTTTGCTGTTCCAACGACACTTGTTTGTATGCTTCTATATGACGCTGCCGTAAATGTGACTTGAGATTACCTGAAGTTGTCTTAAAACTAAATTCATTTTTACATATGTTACAACGCGCTTTTTTATTTACATTGTCAGTTTTTTCGAAAAACTCCCACAGAACACTTGAGTTTTGTCGCGACATTGTTTCCTTATTATATTAAAACCTAAACCGAAGCTATATCTATATTTACAATCACTAAATCAAAAGTATTATATATAAATTTATTAATATATATTTACAAAGCTTTTTGTTCGTTTTTTAATAAGTACTTCTTTTACTAACACTATTATCACAATGCTTCGAAATAAATTTGGAATTAATAAATCAAGCAGTTTTGAAATAATAATACTACACTTGTTCCTCAGAGAGACACAATTAATATGAAAACTCAAGTTCAAAAGTTGAAGGACACAAGACACAAGGTCAATAATAATATTTCGTCATAAGAAGGTCAAGACAATTAATGCAGTTTAATCCTTATATTTTGGGACAAAAGTGTAATTTTTCTATATATGACAAAAACCCGTATTACTATGTAGAAATTTATAATAAAGGCAGAAAGTTTAAAATTGCTTTAATATTAATAGAGATATTATTGTTTTGAAAGAGACATACAAGTATTTATATGAAAAAGAAAGAGATAAACTTATTTCTCGAATTTCGCTTTGCTCTCTTACACGTTTCAACCTTGGGGCCCGCTGCAGTTTCGTTCTTATAGTTACGGCATAACATTTGTTTTTGTACGGCAGCGAGTGCGTGATGTTATAACATCACGAATGACGATTCGAAGATTTCGAAGCAAACGCAACGTTGCAGCGTTGCGGTTCAAAGGTACTCTGTGCGTTGCGGATCGGTATAAAAAATAGACAGTTATGATCGTTATGTATAACTATCTATACGTTATAAAGTAAATAGACGTTTCCATAACTATCTATACGTGATAATGCTCATAGCTAATTGAAACTTACAAAGATTATAATATAAAGAAGACTTTGCTTTAGCCTTTGCGGGTTTTTGAAAATATGAAGAATTAAAGAAAATAAGACTTGACTTCGGCCTTTATGGATTTTGAAGAGATGGAAAGAAGAAAAATAAGACTTGGTTTCGGCCTTTACACTTTAAAATTCTATATATTTAAAATAAAAAAGACAAGGCTGTATGGCTTAGTTCCTTTGCTTGCTCTCTCGAGCGAATAATAAAAACAACAACAAACACGGTTTTTGATAATAGATTTTACGCTTTTGCGGTGTTTGTTTTCAAACTTGTGATATTATTATGACTAAAAGTAATAAGAATGTATAAACAAGTGCATTATTTGGGATCAGTTCTTTTTGTGTTATCTGTTGTTTATGTGGCTAAAACAGTTTTCAGACATTTATTTGATGACGAAAGTTCGCAAGTGGATGAATGGCTTGAGCAAAATGATCTTGGGGACTATAAAAAGTTATTCAGGGAAAATGGTAAGTTTTTCTTCAATATACAGTGTAATTTCTTTAGTGTTCGATGTATTGTAATTCAAAACTTTGTACAAAATATTTGTATTACTTCATTAAAATGTGGTTTTGGCTTGCTGTTTTAGAAAGTGTTTCCTACAAACAAACACCAAGTTATTATTGTTGCAAGTCCGCCATCCTTGCATTACCCATTTTCAAAGGTAACCCTTGTATTTAAATATTTTACTTTCAAGATATTCCAGATGCTTGTTCCGACTCTAAGGAAAAAAACCTATTCTTTTAAATCAATGTGAAAACAAGTTACAATCCACCTGACAGGATGGTAACTAGCCGTTGTCACTCACTATCAACTTTAAAAAATGTAGCTAAAATGTATAATCATATCTGAAGACAAATATCTCTCAGAGCCTATAGTAATACCAGCTCTCTTAAATGTTTAATTGGAACACCACATTGGGTGCACAGCTTCTTGGTGCCAGATTTAAGGTGGATATAGAAGGGAGGTAGATCAGTACCTAATACCTATGCAGATGGATATAGATAGAAAAGGGGTTCTATTTCTTAGTAAGGTGATATTAAAGTATTGCATAGGCATTTGTGATTTTAAACTTCTAACATCCCCTGTAAAAGATAAAACAAGAAAAGAAAATCTTGAACCACTCTCTCCAAATGATAAGATGTAAGAATTAGTTTATTTTGTAGGTTTATTGACACCATCTTTGTTGCCTCTTTGATCCTATAATATACATCTCTAATTATGAATATCAATTCTTGTGAACAAAGGTTTTAAAAAAAAATCTACTAAAGAGTATAATTTTTCTTATTCTCTGAAAATGCTTATTAATATCTAATAAGAAAAAAATATAATGAAATTCAGTTTGAAAATCATAATAGAAATAGTGTTGTAAACTATAAATTATAGAATTTTGAATAAATTGAGAGTTTTTTTTAATCTTATATAATATTTGTGCACGACGCAACAATATTAAACAAACGAAAGAAAATGCTTATTGTAACCGGCGCTAGTTGAACAACCTAGGGTGGGCGGTGGGCGGAGCCATGACGACGGTGTAATTATCAGGCCACGCCTCTGGTTCGACAACTAGCAAGGGTTATACGGCGGGACTAGCGCAACCTTATGTTGAATTTAAATTATAATTTGTGTAAATAATTGTATTACTTGTATCGAACGATAAAAAATAATGATTGTATTATAACTAAGTTTAAGGTTGAGTTGTAACTGTGCAATAACTCTCCCAAATAAAGGCACCGTATGAACAGGGAGAGTTAGCATAGTCTTCTAATGAAAACTGTAATTGTTAAATATAATAAATGTTTACTTTATTATATAATAAATATATTAGGCCGTTAGGCACATAAAATAATAGTAGTAGTGTAACCAAAGAGCATGTTATCGTGACGCGGCCGCGGAGCAAATGAAGCCACGCGCACCGCGCCACGACGTTTTATATTTATAGTGCTGAGGCGGGGGGAAGGATTCTCCGCCTAAAGCAGCTGAAAATTATAATGTAAACCTGTAAATAAGTAAAAATATTGATATGTACACCCTAGTCTAACAAGTAGTTATAAGAATATTATATAGTGAATTATGTTTATTAGTTTGTAAGGTTATTAAATAAATAAAGATAGGCGCGGGGGTGAGGCAAGGGTCCGCTGGCCAGCAGCGGCCAAATCATATAAAAGACGGGCCGGCCGCTAGGGTCAGCAGTCGCTCTCCAGCCACCGAAAAGGCACCAGCAAGAAAAGAAAAAGTACAAGTTCCTCCTCACCGCCGCTTGCCTCCAGTTAAAAGCAAGACCAGCGCGTTTTATTCCATTTTTCGCACGGCATTACGGCGATCCGTAATATTAATGGTCCTTCGAGAAGCCGGATTACTAGAAGAAAAAGACAATATCGGTCTTGGTATTGCCGGAAGAAAGAAGCAAACCGCAAGAACGAAAAAATATTATTGTGAAGAAAAATGGTGATTACGCGTAGTAACAACGGAGAATCATCGAAGCGTCGCAAGGATGAACAAACAACCCAGGGGGCCACAGAAGAGGCCTCCGGGGGCGACTCAGCCGCTAGTGGTTCAACAAACACCACTAGCGAAACCACAACGGTCAGCGATACGACCGCTACCTCGGCAACCGATAGAACAACCGCAACGGAAGAAACCCAGCAAGAGGGTGATCAAAGATCGCAGTGCACATTGAAGCCCGGCGAGACTAGGTCACGCAGCTCCGCAGCCTCACGCAAGAGACTCCTCGCGGAGTTAGAGGCGAAAGAGCGGTTAGCCGAACTCAAGCTCGAGCAGGCTCAGTTGCAAGCAAGAACAGAATTGCAAGAAATACACGTGCAGCGACTACAAGCAGAAGCCGGATCAACCGATGAAGATGAAGAAATAGAAGACGATTTGGCATCAGTGCGCATTAGTACATGGTTGCAAGAAAAACCTACGCCTCAGCCCGCGCCACAACCCGCGCCACAACCCGCGCCACAACCCGCGCCGCAGCCCGCGCCGCAACCCACGTCGTACTTCGCGCCGCAACCAGCACTGCAGATCGCACCACCCGTACTTCAACAGTGTGCGCCGCAATACGCTCCGCAACATACCGCGCCGCAGAAAGAAGACTATGGACAGGCGCAGCAGCAAATCGACGTCGCTACCTTAGCCGCTGCTCTATCACAAGCAGTACGAAGCACAAGGGAGCCGCCGAAATATATACAAGAGCTGCCCTCATTCAATGGTAGCAGCAAGGAGTGGCTCAGCTTCAAGACAATGTACGAAGAATCTTCAAAGTACTTCACGGCGAACGAAAACATAGCGAGAATACGCCGAAGCTTAAAAGGGACAGCAAAAGAAGCCGCAGGTTGCCTACTTATAAGCCAACCAGATCCCAGAATTATAATAGAAGCTTTGGAAAGGAGATTCGGACGACCAGAAGCGTTAATTCACTTGGAAATAGAGAAGCTGAAGCTGCTGAACAAAGTTACGGACAATCCCAGGGAGCTATGCATATTCGCAAATCGCATAGCGAACGTAGTGGGCACCGTGGAAGCACTCAAGAAAGCACACTATCTGCATAGTCCAGAAATGACGCGAGTTATCACAGACAAACTCACGCCCATATTGAAAAGCAAATGGTACGACTATGCAGCCAGAAAGAAAGAAGATATCCCAGAGCTTAAGAAGATATCAATGTTCTTAAACGAAGAAGCGGATAAATGCAGCGCGTATGCCTTGCCGGAGTTCATCGCAGAGGACAGCGAAACGAGAGAGCGAAGACCGAGAAAAATAGAACGTGCCTTCGCCACAAGCAAGAAACCATATGAAGAACGCTGCCCTCAATGCAAACAAGAACACAAACTGCCCGATTGCAAGTCATACGCCGCTCTGTCCACAAATGACAGATGGGAAGTAGCAAAGAAGTACAATATCTGCTACCGCTGTCTGCGAGGCAAACATCGTCGATTACTGTGCAAAGCTCCACCGTGCGGAAAAGGCGGATGCATGATGAAACACCATAAATTGTTGCATCACGACAGAACAGCAGTAATGGAAAAAGAACCCGCTATGGAAACCGCAACATCGGCAAAGGAGGTCAACACAGCGACTCGACCGTACAAGCACCGCCGCGCTTACCTAAAGATTGCGCCCGTAACAATAAGGGGGCCGCTAAGCTGCGTCGAAACATACGCATTATTGGATGAAGGGAGCACGGTCACCTTAGTCGATGCCTCAATCGCCGACGTCATCGGCGCCGACGGCCCAGCCCACACAATGTGGATACAAGGGGTCGGCTCGGAGGTGAAACACGAGAAGAGCAAGATCGTCAGCTTTAAAATAAGAGGAACGTACGCGCAAGAAGAACACAACATAGAAGCAGCGCGTACTGTAGAGCGGTTGGACTTCGCGCCAGAATCCGTAAATGAAGATCACTTGGGGAATTGCCCACATCTGTTGGATATCAAAGAGGATATCACCTACGAACGCGCCTCACCGAAAGTACTAATCGGGCAAGATAACTGGCACCTCATAGTGTCTAGAAAACTGCGCGTCGGCCGTCGAGACCAACCAGTCGCCTCATACACCAACCTGGGCTGGGTTCTGCATGGCTGTCATAGCTCATTGACGTCGACGGTCACCTTCTGCGGCAGACTACATCAGAGGGAAGATGCACCACCGATAGAAGAAGAAATAAAAAATTATTTCAAATTGGAGTCGCTGTGCATCGAGCCGAGAAGACCGAAAGAAGATCCCGAGCAGCGAGCCATGCAAATATTGGACGAAACCAGCCAGAGGTCAGCGGACGGCAGATTCGAGACAGGGTTGTTGTGGAAACAAAAGGACTTCCAAATACCAAATAATTATAAGGAAGCGGAAAGGCGCCTGCACACCTTAGAGAAGAGGCTCGACCGAGACAGCAATCTCAAGCTACAGTACGAAGAACGCATCGAGAACCTCTTCAACTCGGGTTACGCAGAGCGCGCGCCAATGCCACCGCCGCAAGGAAGGACATGGTATCTGCCACACTTCCCAGTCATCAACCCTGCGAAACCGAACAAGCCGCCGAGATTGGTACACGACGCCGCAGCGAAGACAGCCGGAATATGTCTCAACGATATGCTTCACTCGGGGCCCGACTTATTACAATCACTGCCCGGAGTGATCATGAGGTTCCGACAGTATCCGTATGCAGTGAGCGCCGATATAAAAGAAATGTTCATGCAGATTAAAGTGCGCAAAGAAGATAGAGACGTTTTACGTTTCTTGTGGAGAGGCAAGCGGCGGGAGGACCAACCGGAGGAATATAGGATGACGTCAATCATCTTTGGAGCGACATCATCACCATGCACAGCATTATACATCAAAAATAAAAATGCTGAAGAACATGCAGAAGCGTACCCAGAAGCTGCGGTCGCCATAAAAAGAAACCATTATATGGACGACTACTTGCAGAGCTTCCACTCTGTCACGGAAGCTCAGCAAACAGTAAAAGCAG